TTGGAAACGTAAGACAGGCTTCTGCAATGTATATTCAAAACCGCTTGGTAGCCTAGATTCTAGACAAGAATGTTAATCGTTAATGTACAGATTTGCAAAACAAATTTAACCAGAAAGTAGCTTTATGTATATTACTACTTCCGTATCTACGAGACACAATAGATTTATTATACTTCCTTTGCCCTATATAGCTCGCATTACTAGCAACAAAACCCAATGAAAAAAAATAACCAATACACATGTGCAAATCATTAAACACATTCAAGTCGAGTGTTATTGTCAACATAAACCAAGTTATGATATTATTCTTTTAAATGCAAAAAAATAAGAATTTAGATATAGAGTTCAAAATCAAGCTGGAGTTTGATGACATAATTTATCTAATGATGTATATTTACAATAATATTGTGGTAAAAACCGTGATCTGAGGTCATTATAAAAGGGACATTTTAAAGAGGAAATGAAGCTCGTCTTCTGTTGTGTTAAGGTTACAAACAATACATAGTCGGGTGTTTCTTTTAGCTTTAACATACCTACCACTTTCAATATTCAAACAATGTGAACTGCGCCTAAAACGTGATAATGCTACTCGATATTTTTCAATATCAATACAGTTTAAATAGGGTTGCATTTTAAACATCAACAGTGAATAAATTATAATAAAACAGTTTGCTACATTCGTTTCTTGAGCTGTTCCTGACTTGTACATACTGATCCAATAGCCTTTGTTTCAAAATAGTAAGTACATGTTTAGAGATAATATAATTTTGGTAATCCCAGAGTACAGTTAAACCTAGTGTATCTAACAGACATTTTAATGTATAACACCAATTATCCCCTCGTCTACAGTTAGCTGATATTCTAACTGATTTATAAATAAAACTTAATAAATCATCATTAAGCAGTATGTTTATCCAGTATTTTAAAATAAGTACGTGCCTTTTGACACCTTGGGATATCTGCTCTAATTCACTAATAACAGCAGCTGTAGGCGTTGAGAATTTCACTTCCAGTATTCTTTTGCAGAACTTAAGGTGCAATGTTTCAATTTCTTTGCAGTATGGAATCCCCAAACAGGAGCACCGTTTCTGACTAATATCTACATAAACACCATCAAAGACATTATACAATTGAAATAATGATTTAGATCCTTTAACTGCTATTGCTATCTGAGCAGTGTTAAATTTACCATTCATACTGAGTTCAATACCTAAGTAATTAAAAGATTTAACAATTTCCAAGGGTTGATTGTCGTAGTAAAAATCATAACTTATAACTGAATGCCCTTTTTGGAAAACCATAACTTTAGATTTCTTTATGTTTACTTCAAGTTTCCGTTGGTCACAATAGGTTTTCAAGTCAACTAATTGCTTTTGTAGGCCTGCTTGTGATCGTGACAATAAGCTGGTATCGTCTGCATACATCAAACATGGAATTATCAATTTGTTAATAATTACAGGATCTAACACATTTTCACTTAAAAATTCATCAAAGTCATTTAAATACAGTAAAAATAACAAAGGGGATAAGTTGTTTCCTTGTTTTACTCCAGATAATGAGTTGAAGGTTTTTGACCTTTGACATCGATATTTTACACATAACGCATCGATGAAATCGATGTTAACATTTTTGTGCTTAAACCGTATGATTCCAGTTTTGCAAGTAATAATTTACGATCGATCTTATCAAAACATTTGGATTAATCGATAAAAACACAGAATACCTTATTACATTCTGCTAAGTATTTTGACACAATTAATTGAAGAATAAAGATACAATCTACGGTACTTTTGCTTTTCTGAAATCCAAATTGCATATTAGAGAGAAATGAATGTCTATCTGGCCAAGAAATAAGCCTGTCATTAATTAACATAGAATATAGTTTGGCTAGTACATTCATAATTGTGATTGCTCTGTAATTGTTGGCGTAGTAAAAATGACATTGTATTCCTTATACAATAATTGATTGTCAAGTCTTAATTTATTTGAGAAGAAAATGATCGGTATTTGGATACGAAATGGGACATGTACAAAATCTGTCTTTCTGCATCTTGTTTTTCGTGAAATGTGAAAGAATAATTCCCCTTTTTTTAACATACTTATTTAGTTCAATTAATCTTAACACAATGTACATTTTAAGTGCATTCAACTTCAATATATACTTCAAACTTCATTATGTTCTATTTCATTATTAAAAGCAATCAACTGTGCATTCAAATTGACTTTGATTGAATTTGTTATTCTGATCGAAAATGAAGCGCATGTATTGATTTTGATCATGGTTTTCAAAAGAATTCTATAAAATTATATTTCTCCTTTATGCCAAATAATGCATGTCGTCAAAGTCCCTTCAGTAAATCTAACACACTGGTAATATCAATGTGTAGAGAAGGTCCCCCAATGTAATTATGTCATAAAGGAGATTCACCGATTTTGACACCTTGCCAGTTGTCCGTAGCCGCCCGTAGACACAAAAAAAAAATCGCTCACTGAGCTATTCGGTGTTATTTAGTAAGAAAGCAACTTTAAAATTGATTTATATGATTTGAGTGATTTGAACACTAGAATCATAGGCAGTTAAGAAGAAGTACAACTTCATTATATGTAGCGGAAAATGTCAAGGGCTCTTACGTACTTAAACAGAAGAAAAGGTAGTCATCGTTTACCGTCCTGAGAGAACGACCGTTCTTCCAGTTCATTCCTTCTGATCTGTTTCATTAACGAGAAATGAGTTGAAAATCGAAAAAAATAACTCAATTTGTTAATTCGATTAAAACTGAAGTCCTCCAGCTTTGGTACATTTTTGGATAGTTCACAAACAGACATCATGCGCACAGGAAATATTCCTTTCAACTGTCACTTAGCGAGCTAGTGTCTCGCCCCAGTCCTTTCAGAAACACATTAAACCAATTATATGACATGAATTCTGTAATATTGTGGTAGTCCTGGATTGACCGTGGATAATTCAAATTATTATTTAAAAATTCATCAGACAACCACATTCAGAAAAAAATAGCTTAAACAATAACCAGAACTTGAGAATTCTAATTCATAAGCCACAGCTGTGGGAGATTTGGAAAACCGTTACGTTCAAAATAACAATGTTTGGAAAGTATTAAACAACTTTCTCGGTAAACGTCAAGTACCAGACCTCCTGATAAAAGTAAGCGTCTTACGCACCAAGCGATCAAGTCATTAAAAATTTTTTCTCTCAAATATAACTTAATCGGCTTTTAAATTATTCTGATCTTAACACCAAGGAACAGCTTGCAAAAATATGGTTTCTTTCCAACAACACGCAATCTTTTTGTACGCTTTATTTTCGTAGCCTGTAAATTGTAATGTTCTTCAAAGACTGTAACTCAAATGGGCCGATGACTTAATCAAATCTTGACTACATTAAAACATGGTTGCTTAAAGGGATACCACGTCTTAGAATGAACATAAAATCATCAGTAGATATACCTGGTGTTATAAATAACCCGACAGGATCCTTATAGAATCCGATAAATCCAAAAAACTTAATAATTACCCATAAAAATGCAATAAACTATTGAAAAACGCTTAATATTAAGATTGAGCGTTTTTCAATAATGACTTAGTTTTATGAATTTTCCAGATTTTATAGGGATTCTGTTGTAATTTTATGACACCACAATTCTTGAGAAACTTGAATTTTAAGTTAATTCTAAGACGTAGGATCACTTTAAGGCTATACACAGAAACACTAAATGCTATGCTATAGCACAAACGTTTACGATTATTAGTTTGGTCAAATGCTTGTTTCCATACGTATTTTATCCACTTGATTAAAATAAGAGAGTAGTAAGCCAGTTTCTTGTATAAATTATGCTTCTGTCGTCACAGAATCATCAAGCCCCATGCTCAGAGAAATTTTGACTGATAGACAAAGCTGTTAATTTTATTGTTATAGCAAATAAATTTGGAACAATTTGGACTAAATTTTGAAAAACTCTTCCTAGCTCATAGCTCTCGTATCTAACTTACTTTGATACAAATAACGATACAGCCGATGACGTAAAAGTTTTGTACCGGGTAATTAATAAATTGCACAATACAAACTAATCAAGTACACTTTTGATTAATGCACATTAATTGATTTTTCCTATAATGTTGTGACCTAACATGTATAGGATACAGTAAAATAGTGTCAATTCCGTCTCAAGGGACCAAGAAGAGTGATGAGATAGCTTGTTACTAGATTAGCATGCAACGTTAGCTATTAATTGCTACTTTTTTACAGTTATTAGATCTGGGTATGGAGACGATGCGTCAGTTTGTCGACAGACAATAATAAAACACAATATTTTACAAATTAAATACTTATTAAAACCGGTTAGCAAATTACTTATGCATCGTCTCATTTTAAATTTGGAATATTATAGATCAGTAAAAAAATATATAAGCCGAGTTAATGGGTCCAGAAACATTACTTTCTTCTTTTGGAATATCAGGCATCATTTGTCTCTTGATTTGTAATTAATAAGTGTTTCCCAAATGTTAAGTATATACTATTTTTTAATATCTATTATTTCTGTATATGACTTTTTTTTATATACTTAATGATAGCCATAAATAGGCTTTATATAAAATTTTTTTTATACAGAACTGATTGAACATGACATGAACTTATAATTGAACTTATCATCACACGGGAATGGGTACACATTGTACTTTGGGCAATTTTACATATGAATTAAAAGCATTAAAATAGTTAATATATCAATATATCTATAGTTCGATGTCAATTATCGTTCTACATCAAGGATTTTCAATTGTGTTTTCGTATGTAATTGTGTTGACCGAACAGATGCGACCACTTCATTCATGAGACTGTGGCCTTAACAGAAGATTATCATCTATTATGTTTCTTGATAATAAATGTATTGCATATACACATTGCTAATAGATTGGTGGTTATATTTCTGGAAACGCCATTAATGATAACCCGTGTGATGTAAATTGTTTATTTGTCGTCATATGAATACAATCAATGTATGCCTTACCTTTCGTTTAGATCGTAACTGGATGGAATCTCTTGTAAAGTCAGCATTTCCTGGCGTTGTTCGTCGCCACAACAATACTCCAACAATAGTATAAGTCACAGATAAAATGCACAAAGGTACGATATATGTTAAGAGTAAAACGAAAAGAGTGAATATTTTTCGGGCCTTTTCTGTCGGCCACACTTCATCACAGGTAATGATGTGATAGTTTCCAAAGTACATATCTTCAGCACGACTGACCACTAACTGGACACTGGATAGCCCAACTGCACCAATCCAGATTCCCAACAGGACGTATTTTGCTCTGGATGTCGTCACTCGGGATTTTAAAGGGTACATGACTACTAAGAAGCGATCCGACCCTATGGCCATGTTGGTGAACACGCTGGCTGAAACGGATAAATGCTGCATACACAGCACTAATGGACACATGGGTTTAGAAAATATCCAGGTTTTTAACATCACAGATGAAAAGGTAAAAGGCAAACAAAACACAGCCATGATCAAATCTGCAATAGCAAGATTGATGAGAAATGGTCGAATATCCGTCCGACATCGCTTTCCTTTGGTGAAAACAATAACTACCAAAACGTTACCGGTAATTGCTAACATGGCCGTTAGAGAATAGAGAACAATTAATCCGATTTGTGAAGATTGTCCTAAGATTAGAATTGGTAATTGGTCGGTAGTTCCGTTGGTAAACAACGAAGTGATATTACACTCGTCACCCGGACAGTTGACATTATAGCTCCTCATAATATCAAAGTTTCGACGTCCACTTGCTTACAAGGGTAATATTACACACATTTTGTTATATCTTGTTATTTTGTATGACACGATTTGGAATACATTAATTCCTAAGTTATAAAAACAAGATACACATCACAGTAGTTGTGGTTACTCTATCTAATTTTATGGTAAATAAAAACTTCTGATTCTATCTTCTTTATGACATCCAGAAATTCCAATAGAACATATTCTTTACAACATTATTTGCCATTAAAGTCTTAAAGTCGAATGAAATACATCTCGGCACTTCAGCTGACAGGTGGTTATGACTCAATTATGAATTTACACCTTGAAGGGGGTAATACAAGATTACAATTCTTGGTTAAATAGAAATTTTCCACTTAATGCCTCGGCAATTCAAAATGCGTGTTAAAAATCCACTCGTCGTCGATGAACTGTCACTTGAAACTGTAAAAAACAAAATATAAAAGTCTCCATGGGTTAGTCAACTACTTTTTTCACTGATGCCTATATGGAGTGAAATTTGAGTTATTAATCCTAAGATTAAGTCTGAGCGGATATAATTTTAGTCGACAGCCGTTTATCTCCAAATTATTGAAACGACTCGGATTGTCAAAATTTGATACCTAAGTTTCTAACCGGTGGTTAGCATCTTAAAACTTAAAGAAACGAACACAAGTCTTAAAGATAATAGTATATCGTAGAATTTCCCTATCGATTTCTAAACTGTTTGAAACGGTAAGCACATATACACATGAGGAAAGTCAAGTGGGTCACAAATCCTATGAGTTGTACCTTTCCTTTAATGATGACTGAGAGATGAACACATTTCATGGGTCATATATTTTCACTGTTAACCTGTACACCGATAAGAAGGTAAATTGTGGCAAATTTTTATCTACCAATGACCCCCTTTTATAGGTAGGTTATGAATACTAATTCATAGGTATATACTTATAATGAAATATACACTTATTGTACCAAGTAGTGATAATTTGCAGTTTAAGGAGACAGTCTTTTGTATATTAAAAACAACTTTTCCAAATTACCAGTCCATAAAACCACGATTTGTATCATCAAATAAGCTTTCGTTACGTGTTATTCATTAGTATCAACTTGGATAAATATGATTATCGAGAATATACTTTTGAGTAAGCTAAATTTAAATCCCAATTTCTCAACAAAGTATTTGTTTCACTCTCGGCCTGTACATTTGGGAGAATCAAACTCTCCCTTCCCCGAAATCTAACTATGGAGCATTTCTGTTGTTAGATCCCACATTCATTCATTCGTTGTATATTGTCTTGTTTGTATGAACCTTGAAGTCAGCTACAGTTAAGATTGATGATATGTATATAGGGTTATTTATTTTTTCATTAAACAATTTATTTTCTAGTTAATTTTACGAAACATTTACCAGTACTGATTCACTGAACATAATAGTTTTACACATGTAGAAAATACTAATGTTTCGGTTAAAAATATTTTCAATTGTAAGAATTGATTTACTGAATGAAGTATTTTAACACATGATCGTGATATCTACCACACAATAATAAAAGGCCACCTTGACTTCAATATTGAACATCAAATAACCTTTTCTGTGAACCCTAAAACGTCTTCTATGCTTTGAAATGCTTACTATTATTTGTTCTTCATAAACACAACACAAATTATAGAAATAGTCCAAATGCCCGCACTATCGACTATTTAGATACTACTGTTTGTGATACCACAGTCTGCAATTACAATTGATTGTACAACGTACATTCAAGGTTTTTAACTGTTGTTTCTTAAGTTATGTTATCATCTACACTACATTCAAAATCAATTAAAATAGTTCATTAATTAACGAGTTAAGGGAATTGAACAATTGCAGAACGTACACAAGGGTACCCAAAGCTTTTCTTTATGAAGATTGTATTTTCAAATTCAAACTAAATTCCAAAAATAAATTTATTTTAAACGAATTTATACGTACCCTTGAAATTTTTGAATGTCCTTCAATAACACTTGTAAAGCACTTCATTACTTCATCACACAAACTTTTTTTTACAAATATCAAATAACTCTCCGTGTACCTGGCCCTATATCTATGTCACATTCTGGTATTCATAAGTAACAGCATTTATATAATTATTGATACGTAACATAAAACATACAAACTCTCAAGCTTTCTGCTTTCACATTTTGAGATTAATTTTCTATCCAATACACTTGACGATGCGCCACGTGAGATCAACGAGCATATTAAGCGGGTATTGATTGACAAGAAGAAGTCAGTGGTAGTAACCGACGTGTTTGGCCAGCCTCCTGAATAACATAACAACATATACACTATTATACACGCCCGCTACTTTACCAATATAAAATGTACGACTCGAAGCAAATATTTTATACAACTGTACAGTAGCACAAATGAAAGTTATTAATTGGGTTTGTTTGAAAGACAGATGCTCGGTCGTTATTTTAAATCACATAACCACCTTCACGAAACAAAAAATGGTATGTGGTCTACGTCGTACTTTACGTAAATAAATAAGGATAATGTGTAAGTTGGAATCCGTTGCAACATGGACTGTACCTCCTGAATTATTACTCAGATATAATCAAAATCTAATCCAATATTTCTATAATCCTCAATTGATCAAAGATATGACTCAACTAATTAAGAAATCAAAAATAATCCTAATCCTCAACTGATCAAAGATATGACATGATTCACTCAATAATTTTTAGAAAATCAAAAACCTGTATTAACTGACTACTATATAAATCGCAAATTCAATCCCATTTCATAACCATTCCTCGACACTTGAAAAAGGATAATATTTCGAAAACCGGTTCGTGTCAATTGCGTAAGTTTTTGTTTTACTTGTTATAATTTTCACATCATTGTTAGCGTTATTTATCACCTAAATATATATTTTTTTGCATTTTTCATCTTGCTTTATATATCCCCAAACCCAGTTTGATTTATTTGCATAATTTGATCCCAACATTTTCACGCTAGCATATACAGTTTCTTCCTGTTACATCCGCTGTACATTCCCTTCTAACCCCAAGTTATTTTCATTATGCTCCCCAACTACAACAACCACTGGCAAGAAGCCTGAAATAGAAACACTAATCGTCAACCAAACCAATATCACGTACCCTACAACGGCCCTGTCTACCATCGACCTCTACCACCTACCAATCGCCGACCACCAACCAACCCATCCAGCTATATCCCACCCCATCGCCGACCTACCTACAACACAGCCTACCAATCAAGAGGTAACCATCGACCTGACCAACCACTGAAACGACTACCAGCCCACCGACGCCAACCAGTCCCCACTCATAAGGAGGAAGAACCCTTTGTGAAGGTGTTCTTCCAAGTTTTGCAGTGCCTCCATCATTTGGCAATCCTTACCCTTCAACAGCAAGGCCAACCAGCGTTTACCTTCAAACGCAAAGTCTCTGAGTTGGATAGTTTTATCCGTCCAGCAATGAAAACATCAGCTGTCGACGCGAATATTAGATCCCTCAATCGGACATGGCTCTGTAAGGTTACGCAGGTCCTGATCGACCATTACCAAACCACACTTCAAGAGAAGCTGACCACCATTCGTACCAAGTCTTTATCATCACCTGACGTCGACCGCATCGTTTCTCATGCCCTGTCCTGGGCCCGCCGCTCCTATGGGAAACGTCCCACTCAAGCTGTAATCTCCAAATTCTACCAAACAATCAACGAAACAAAAACCAGAGTAACCATATCTCTACCAACTGAAATGGACACTACACCTGCACCATCTAGAGCCACCATGCTGCCGAACCAAACCCCTAAACGAGCCCGAAGTTCACCTACTCCTAGTCCAGAAGACATAGGTAAACGCTCTCGTAGAGAGGGCACACCCCTTCTCTTTTCACTTTCAAACTCGTCTTCCCCTTCCACACCATCTGAATCTTCACCACGTGATCCAGGATCCGCCAACCTTTCTTCCTTCTGTGCGTTTTTGGACCAGCAAACCACCCCTCAGTCTCCATCCAAGTCGAGACGTGTATCCAGACCTTCCCCCCCTCGAACCAGATCCCAGTCCGTTCCCAATGCTACAATTCTAACAACTACCAAGCCAGTACCAATCACACCGTCGACGACCATTATATCCGCTACCAAACCGTATTATCACCAAACCAAGGACAAATCATTATGGAAACTACCTGCTCTAAAGAAATCTACCTTAATAATTGGATCATCTAACCTGAATCGAATTACCAAAACCAGTTCAGACACCGAAATACATTCTTACCCCGGTGCCCAAATCCATCACATACAGTCAATCCTGGAATCATACGACCATGATCCCAAACCTACTACCATTATTCTTCATGTAGGTCTCAACAACCGTGATCAGATACCAAAGACCTCCTTTAACCAAGCCCAGAAATTAATCGCCACAGCCAACAAAACCTTCCCAAACTCCAAGATCCTCTTCACATGCATACCCATTTCAAATAAAATCTCGACGAAAGCACAACAGAACCTCAGCACTCTCAACAACATGATGATGGAGACCAGTATCAACAGCGCAACAATCTCACCACCCTACGAAGAAGAATTCGAAACAGTTGATAATCTTCATTGGTCTCCAGAAACAGCAAACAGCATCTATTTGTTTTTGATACACCAGCTTCAAGCATCGAGTAAGTCTTTAAACTAATTACTGGGGATAAAAATACTGAGAGGCCACAGCTAGGCCAAACTGTAGTTAACTTGAGCCGCAAAATTCTCACACCCCTTCAGCATTCAATCTTAGACCGTGGACTTAAGTTTATTCCCACACCAAAGATAGCTAACTTGAATTATCTCCGACCATCCATTGAACGATTTCAACGAAATCTTAGCTGCACATATTTTTTTCGAAACCACCCCCACGTGGTGCTAGAACAATGTTTATTCCTAAATCCACGTGGACACCCCCTCAGGCCGCCATCCATCCTGAAATATTGAAAGCATTTGCGAGTATGAATAGTCAAACAGTGAGCCTTTCCATAACACACGAAAAGCCTAATCTCACACGAATGGAACGTGAAGCGTTAAACTTACTTAAGAAAGACGATAGCATTGTTATTAAAAAGAGTGACAAAGGTTCATGTTGTGTCATTCTGAATAGGGAGGATTACGTTTCAGAAGCAGAGAATCAACTGAATAATCCTAAACATTATGCCATTTTACCGAAACCAATTTTCAAAGAAACTGCTAACATGATTAATAATGTTCTTGCCGATTTAGTCAAAACTAGTTATCTCAAACAGAAACAATATGTCTATCTGTCTGCCAAACCTGATTGTCGAGAGAGACATTTGTACACTTTGCCTAAAATCCATAAGAATCCAACCAAGGAGTGGTTTATCTCGAATAAAATCCCTAAAGGCCGCCCGATTATATCTGACTGTGGTAGTGCAGTGTCAGAATACATTGATCATTTCTTACTACCTCTAGCATGCCAACATCGCGCCTACCTTAAAGGCACAACCGATTTTGTCAATAAAATAAAAAATCTTCGAGTTCCCTCTAATGCTATTTTAATTTCTATCGACGTTTCTTCTATGTATACCAATATCGATAACACTACTGGTTTAACGGCAGTTCGTAAAGCTTTTAATAGAAACCAACATCCAAACAGACCCGACGATGCAATTCTACAGCTTTTAGAGATTTGTCTTAGTCGAAACGATTTCACATTTAATGGTAAAACATATTTACAAACTTCAGGGACAGCAATGGGCAAACGATTCGCCCCTTCGTACGCAAACCTTTTCATGGCAGAGTGGGAACGTGAGGTGTTGCCCCTCTGTCCATTTGACCCACTTTTTACGGACGCTTTTTGGATGACATTTTTATGGTTTGGACTTATTCTATCGAACAGTTTTGGGAATTCTTTGAAATTCTCAACAACCACCATCCTTCTATCAAACTAACCGCAAACGTGAGTGACAAAAGCATAGACTTTCTCGATACCACAGTCTTTAAGGGAGATTCCATAGCAGAAACAAATAAACTGGATATTAAAGTGTATTTCAAAGAAACTGATACTCATCAACTCTTGCACAAGAGCTCCTTTCACCCAAAACATACCTTTTCTGGTATAATAAGTCACAAGTTTTACGATTTCATCGAATTTGTACAAGATCTTCTGATTTCAACCAAGCCTGTACGATTGTTTTCTCAAAACTGAAAGAGTGTGGGTACTCTAAACGATTTTTACGAAACATAAAAAATTCCACCTTAGCACAGATAGCAGCTTAAAAGAGACTTTATGCCGAAGTACCTCCAGGTTTAAGAAGTGCTCCATGTTTGTCCAGTAGATGCAAAACATGTCCCTTTATATCAGAAATCATTATTTTGTAAGCAACTCTACGAATAAAAGGTACCCGATCCAGGAACATCTAACATGTGAACATTCGAATGTAATATATTTAATTTCATGCAAGAAATGCCCCAAACAATATGTAGGAGAAACTAAGAATAATTTACGAACTCGCTTTAATGCTCATAGGTCAGAAGACAAGCCTGTTTCTAATCATTTCAACCTCGACGACCATTCAATAGACGATCTCACCCTAATCCCAATTGAGCGTATAGAAATTGACTTGCCCGAAGATGAAACTACCAAATTCCGTCAATCTAGGGAGGCCCATTGGATTGAGACATTGAATACAGCAAGACCTATAGGACTAAATATTCATCATAATGTAGGCATAGCACCCTTTGTTGTCCCGTTTAATACAACCAGCAATCGAGCAAGCAAGATAGTTCATGCCCACTATAAGAGCCTTCAAGAGATTCCCCCATGTCTATAAGCAGAAAATGATAGTTGCATATTCAAAAAATAAGAACTTAAATGATAATATTGTTCATAGTAAACTAAAAACAATCGGTAAATGACAGATACTATACTTCTCGCCCATCGGGCGAGTTATTTTTTTCTAATTTCAGATCAGAATAAGAACAGAAGAAAACCCAATATCAAGACCCTTAATCCTAATTTCTAAATAAAGTGTCTGCTCCACCCTAGGCCTGTACATTTGGGAGAATCAAACCCTCCCTTCCCCGAAATCTAAATAATGACAACCGGACACATTATTATCAACTCTTGATTAATCATTTGGTAAGTACTGCTTAATGAGATTAGTTAGAGGATTAAATGATATGTATTAAACAGATACAGATACAACATCGATCATCAAAAAGAACTTAGTAATTAATATAAGAAATCACGGAACAGAAAGATACGATCGCGATGTTTACTCTTAGGGGAAATGGTACGTTATAATAGTACCAACCTTCAAATGCGAATCCAAACATGTTTGGATCTCTTTGCAAAGTGGGCGAATGACTGGGGATCAGAATATCCAAAGCCCAAACGATCGGAATGATGGTCTGTAAAGATCCCGAGGTGACCGACATGCGACAAGTATTGGAGGCAAACGTATTCCATTCGTTAGTGAATCCAAGCTACTTGGTGTAACCTTCGATAGAAAACTCTCATGGGAACCTCACATTATTTAAAAACATCATAAACAGATGCCAAATTGTGCTGAACTTAATGAGGAATATATCTGACGATGTTGTGACCCTTATGATGATGTATCATGCGCTGATCTGGCCCATCTTTACCTACGGTTCACAGGCATTAATGGCCGCTAGACCAATGCTCCTTTATAAGTTAAATGGCATTCAGCACAAAGCCATCCGACTAGCCACCCGAACGGGCATCGGTATAAAAACAGAGTCTCTAATCCAAGATGTTGGCGAAGTCAATATTCATAGAGAGGAGCTAACCCTAAGATAGTGGTAAAAATCAAGTACCTTGGAGAATCATCTCTAACTTACCTCGAGATCACAAGGTATAGGCATGCCAAAAGACAATAAGCTTCAGACAGTCAGTTCGGGATTCCGTTCGGAAATATGTTCTGGTTAGGTTACCTATAAAGCCTCCTGCATTTTCCAAAGATTCTCCTTAAATGAGATGTTAAGGTTGGTATGATAGGGGTTTTGGGAGGTTAAAGTATTTATACTAATGGTTCTCATGACCCGGATGATGGTACAACGGGTCTACATCCCTCGAGCACGATTGGTCAATAACTGCTCAGTGTAAACGTCAGAGATGCTTGCAATCATGAATGCGGTGGAACAATCCACAGATCATTCAAATTATGTAGTATTAAGCGACTCGCTAAGTAGCCTGACATCGATACTAAATGATTCCTCTAATTCCCAAGCGGAGCTAGTGAATGAAATCAGGCAAGCGTGCTCACTTGTACATAGCCAAGGCAAATCAATCGAGTTGGCATGGATTCTGTCTCATGTCGGCACACAGTGAAACGAACTTGAAGATGAATTCGCTAAAATAGGACTAGGACTAAAGGAGATTGACCGGATAGAGGATACAGTTTATCGGAAATAAGAAGCATGATCACAAAAGGCATCAAATCGAGGAGGAGTGGGGAACTCTCATAGATGCTAATTCATTCCGCTTCCGATCAAACGATAGCATTAGCAGCAAAGTGTTTTACACCACCCCAATCGACAGATCTGTGAAAACGTGTAACTTTTTTAATCAATAACAATGAAGTTGGAATTTATAAAAAGCGGATTTAAGTGTACTTTTAGCAACGCCATAAAGTTCGTCGGGAAAACAATTGAGGTTTTACAATGAAGCATGTCGAGTATTAAGTACACATACAAATGATATTTTCACAGTAATCCATCTACGTCATGTCTAATTTAACATATTATAATTGTAAATATTGACGGATGGAAATCCTAATTTCGAAATAATAGAATTGGAATTAATGCATTCAATTAATATTGTTTAACTTTATAATGTCGTTGGGTATTGTTCCGACATAGCATAGCTAATTAAGATCTATTCATTCCGCTTTTCTGTTAATAAAAACGGGAAAAGCTATACTAATGTTCGATTTCAAGCTTTCGAATGATTTTTAACGCAGGGGGACTCGATTTCTTTGCTTTTTCGGTTTAAAATCTTTTTTTAATCTTTTTTTTTCTGGTTCTCAAGATCGCGGTTTCGAATGCCATCCGGAAATAGCAGAATATCATGGAATACCTTATTGTCGAAACATTTGATCACTGAAATATTTTATGAATTATTAGCTCTGAATCATCTCTACCGACAACGTCTTCAATTAAAGTCAGGCTAAAATTATGTCAAAGATCAATATGGGTGAAAAGGCCAGTGAAAAAAAAATCGAAATTGAAAACGATGAGGCTAAGTATAAATCTTAAGTTCGGAAGTCATTTGGTTTTCCCGTTTATTACGACAACAATTCCCAATTAAGATATTTGCCAATGGTTTGGTTTTTTATTTATTATTTTGAAGAAATTTGTTAGTCCTTGTGTGTAACAAATGATAAAAAGTGAATTTTGTACTTCTAAGCGTGCCAAAATAATTTAAACTGTGTTAAAATGTTATTAATTATCAGTTTTCATTTTCTTTCCCTTTTAATCAAAGAATCGCGATTTATTATCGCAATAAATCGTATCGTTAAACGAGTATCGTTTAGTGTATCGGATCGCCACTTTAGGAATCGTTGCAGCCCTACCACGAGCAGATACCCATAGAAATATCATCAACTACAGACTGAAAATCTTTAAATCCTTCATTAACGGGCATTAAATTGACTCCCAGAGGATCTCAGAGATTATATATCATGCAGAGAGCGACCACCCACTAATTAGCCACTGAATACTTCATGCTAGACCTAATCTCTGCAAATATAGATGCAAACATTGTCGTATTAGGATTTGTATCTTAGAGCCTATATCTATTAGTCTCTAAGCAATTGGAAGTCCGGTGTTGATATATCGCATAAATTTGACTACACTGAATATCTATCCAATCGTATTTGTTGGTAATGGCACGATGATAGACAGACAGTTCAGTCACAAGGGATATAAACACAACATTATGTAATTTGTTCTCTCACTTTCAGACTGTATTTGTAAGTTATCGAAATAAATATCTGTGATTGGTGTAGTGCTCTTAGCACATGGTTGATGTAAACGTTGAAAGTATACGATCCAAGGTACCACTGAGGTTTATTACGCTTATGCAAGTTTTATGGAAATTGAGTCATTATTAGACATGATAACACATAACGTTCTAAATAGACATTGCATAATAATATAACAAGGTTAGCCTTCCATCATCGGTATAAATTTGTTAAGAATTATATAGCACAGAATTATCCAATTTGACCAACAGCTTACCTAATTTGCGCTATCAGCATTTTATTTCACAGCTGAATTTTGATACAAAATAAACGATGATTATGATTTCTATGCAGTAGTTATTTTCTTTGACATCAGGAATTGTAACGAAACAGATTCGCCGTTTTTGGCAATTGATTTTTTAAAAAGTTTATATAAAGCTAATTTAGCCTTGGGTTATGAGACACAGACTTCATTTAAAACAAGTACTATTACCAGGTTATCCATCTATAATAACAGAAACCGCAGGCTCTGGCGGAAAATTGGAATGATGCAAATAGAAGCCATAAAAAGCTCATTCAAAAACTAATTTTGGTTACTGAAGCCAATAACTGCCATAGTTAAGCACATAAACTATCACTCCTTCATACGGCATTGTTTTATGACAGACTGGAATTCATTTTGACCACACCAAAATGTACTCAGTACAATACAATATTCCCTAGATTTCAATGACAAAGAGAATTGACATTTTTTTCTGCTTCTGCATGTGTAATTAAAGTTCAAAATCAAAAGAATGGATTCCAGGATTTCTTTAGAATTGTACATTTTCCATGGGATTGGCCGCCATCGATGGTTTTAGTAATTTGTGATTCAGTCATAGTGAATTCTATTTTGTCGAATCGTTGTTAATGATACTATAACCCTATAAATGCAAGATTGCAGACTGATATCCTAGCGATACCATCGATGTTTTCCAGTGCAGGGTCTTTCTGGCTCCTCTACACTCTAATTCTTCTTCTATTAGTAGTTCAAAATTGATGCTCTTCCGTCCATGTAATGGCTAATTTGACATCTCCGTAAGTTAATGTTTTGGTTTTCCCAGTATCTGTCTAGTCTATTCCTAAAGGTGTTTACTGTTGGGGCTTTTACAATATTATCTGGTAGACAGTATTGTATTTGACAACACTTGAGAGCAAACGAGTTCTTCCTGAGCGATGTCTTGGGCTCTCTAGGGATAGAGTTTTACCGAGTTTTTTCGGACGCTGTTCATGGTGCCAAATCCTTCCACAGTTTAGGGATTGTGCTTGCATCAGCTTCGTATTAACCGTTCAAAATCTTTACCTCTATCATGTCTCCTCTCACTCGACGGTAGCTTAAAGTTGGTAGTTTAAGTTTTTTACAATCTATCTGGATATGATAAATTTATGAGCCCTTGGATTTGTTTTGTTGCTCTTCTCTGCACTACTTCTATCTGTTCTATGTGTTATATTTTTAATATTGACCATACCGAGTTTGGATAGTACAGCTGAGTTCTCAAAAGTGTCTTGCATAGTGGGATTAACGTGACCTTATCATTGAATTGGAAAGTTCTTCTTAGTATGGCAAACATCCTTTAAGATTTGTTAACCTTCTCGTTAATGTGGTTGTTAACAGATAGGAGATAGACTCCAATGTCTTTTTCTTCTGTAACTTCTTCCATGAAGACTGCAACTGGTATTGTTGTTCATCTTTCCTCTATGCATATGTTTGCACTTTTCCGGATGAAACCGCAATAACCCGGTTTTACTCCATCCCTCTATTTTATTCAGGTCATTCTGCATTACTTGAGAGTCCGTATCAGATTTTATCACATTAAATATCTGTCATATGCAAACACCGATATATACCGATCCTTGAGGAATTCCTGATGTTACCTTATGCCAAGAAGACATTTTACCATTTACATCCACTTGTTGTACTCTGTCTGGTGAGGAGCTGCCAATCCAGGATGTAAGTTGTTCATTAAAACCGTCTGAAACTAGTTTTCTTTGGAGTCGTTTATGCAATACTGTTTGTACTGTAAAGGAAGCCTTTTGGTAATTCATGTAGATGCAATCGATAGAATGGCGTTGGTCTAGTGCCTCTGTCCACTTGTCCAATACTTCAAGAAGGAGGGGATATAGATCGTCCAGATATGAAACCATACTTTTTAGTACAGAATTTGTTTCTCTTCATGTTTGTTCCCCTGCGATACTGTCAAGTACTTGACAAGCAACATACGTGAGGCTGAGAAGTTTCCAGCTTGGCACTTATTTCCTTACTTATTGTACCTCTTTACATACTTAGTACTGCTTAAGGATTGGTTGTATATAATTGTTTGTGGGATACATAAGTGTTTCAGCTGCTTCCTTCATAAATCTAGGATGCAAATTGTCCAGATGATTTCCTAACCTTTAGTCTCATCAGCGCCTTGGTAACTGCAACATGGTTTACTCTAACTTCCGTACTCTCAAGTGTAGTTGCTACTCTGGTGAAAACGTTACTGAAAAATTCCTCTAAATTTCTGCCTTTTCCATGTCATTGTTTGTTTTCTTCGATGTTGTGTCTTTTGGGTCAACCTGCGGGTCAACGATACCAGATCTTGTCTTGTCTTTGATGTAGGACCATATATTTCCTTTGGATTTGTCCTTGCCTTCTTAATAGTCTTTCACATGATTTTTCCACATCCTTCTCGTAAGCGTATTGACTTGGTTCCTGACTTAATTTTATTGTTTCCTCAGTTCTGGGTTATTTGTACCATCGTGTTATCTGCTAGCTGATAGAACTGACCGCTTAGCATCATCACATCTAAGTCCGTCAAAGGTCACTTCTCAGATGAATCTTCATGGTTTGCACATGTCTACAACAAATTGATAAATTCTTTGAAATGATCAAAAACACCACTCGCCCATAAACCAATGGCACTCGTAAGAGTACAGATTTCGTTGATACCACTATCAATAAAGGCGACCCGGTAACAGATACAAGTAAACTTGATAGCAATGTATACTTTAAAGAAACTCTACAACACCAATTCAGAAGCTCAAAACGACATCATTAGCATAATCGTACTTATGATTAGTTCCTCAATGGTTTAAGATCTGTAGATTAGTTAATTCTAATGAATACATTGTTGTTGAGTTTTATTCTGGATCAATATAATATGCTACTCGGTTGATCAAATTTTCTAGTGCCGGAAGTTAGATATTGATGCAGTGTATTTATTATTTTCTTTCCTTGAGTAATATTGCATTTTATTCATAATAAAATAACAATTATACAGTCGTTAAGAGGAAACTCTTTCAATCATGTTCATCCTTCTGGAGCAACTCTTTTCATATTGAAGTTTGGTATGGCAAATCGACAGCTCTTTATGAACATCTACTCGGGTACAAATTTCATTTTGGTATCTGTCATTACAGAGTTCAATATAAGCATTGAAATTTGCGATTCAAAATGACCCCTTTTGCGATCCAATATATCTTTTTATTTGCCAAAATGTATCGCGATCTGCGACACAAATCAAATTGTATATTTTTCGGAGAAATTTCTCAAATCTAAACATATACGGGTACTATATCACCTTAACGAACTAACATCATTGGCAAGATCTTTTGGAACATTTTAAATTGATGTCGAATCAAAATTTGAATCAACATGATTAGCCAAAACTGAAATTTGGTGTGATAAATTGCTAATTACATTTTTGAATCAAAATTGAACCCTATGTCATTACTATATTTAATCGAATTCAATATGGACATAAATAAATCATTATCATTGTAGTGGGCTGTATATACTTGTTGAAATCATCTTAAATAATTGTTTGGGGTAAAAGCAGGCCATAATTGTTTAAACGAGATATCGTTAAGTAGGAAATTTAATGTGAACTGACACAACAGGTAGTTATATAAAATGAAGTGAGTGATCTTCTTACTGATATCTGATCTCGAAACGATATGGTTTGCTCGTACGAGAAAGAGATTAAGATCATAATATCGCAATCCATATTTTAAAACTGCTTTACAATTGAAAAAGGGAGTCTTTGTCGTTAGATTTTTAAATAGAAAAAGAGGATAACCTGAAGGATTTTGTATTGTGCTGAAATGGGTTTAGTATATTTCACTCCGATTCTCGACATTGACGTTACACATATTTTCGACTTCATACTCATTTAAGAGAAATTTTAATTACAACCAGAACTTTATAAATGCCACACCCATTGATAATGAAGCTTCTCTTTCTGGAGGTGTACAATAGATTAATGGTGAGACCTGAATGTACTCCTAAAAAATGCGGCGTCACATAGATACACCCAGGTTCCTTGTGCTACAGGCTATGTACGCTAAGGTTGTTTTTCCTTCGACATATGATGCTGTCCTTGGAAAAAGAATCTTTCGTGCTTTTTAAGACCAAGATATCACTCTGCGACAATTCTGCTGCATAAAGTCGATATTGAAGGCTTTGGTAGATGCAAATACCTTATAACTAGATTTTAAATTAGATTAAAAGATTCATAGTTTTATTGGACAAGACTCAATACGGACAATCAAAGATCAGCTTTCAAATTTAGAATATCTCAAAGAATAAGATCTTTCGCATGAGAAGTCAAGCAATACAACTAAGGCTATATCTGTCTTGTTATTTCTATTTCAGTTATATCAGTTATAGTAATGATCAGAAACGTTCAATGAGTAGACATATTCATTATGTTCTTCCTTCACAAATTTCTATCACTTAGTTAGAAAGACACTTTGGTTAATTCGGTTTCCTTTTTTAGAGAACTTCTAGTACCAAAATGTTTACTGAGCTTATTTTGGAAAAGTTGAGTGGATTATTTCAAGTTGTATTGGACGAGGTTAAAGCCCTATTTCCAAGAACGAATGTCTAAAGTCTTACTTTTCTGCACTAGATTAGGCTTATGAAGACGGGGAGACACATGCACCGTGTAGTAAGGGAAATTTTGCCAGAACAGAATTTTAAGTTCAAATGCATCATATAAAGATGAATTCTCTGATTGTTCCCATATCGTAGATATGAACTCTCGTGCCATGCTTCTGAATGTTTTCCGATATTTATTCGATGACACTCGATTTTGATACGTGATTAATGAATAGGGCTAATGGGATCATTGGGTACGAGTTTTGATAAGGATGATATCTTGTATATCTATGCCCTTGATCTCAGGAGCCACTGTTGTCAATAACATAGCTAATTGCTGAACTGTAAGGTGATAGTAGAGGAATTTCTATTTAAAAAAAAATTTGACACAACACATTTTTTGACCCAAAATATTGTAAATCACATCGAGTGGTTCCTATACAATGGAGTCGTTATATGTCACTGTTCTTGATGGAATTTGTCGTGTATATGTATGTACATGTATGAATGAGATTTCAATCAAGATTGGGTTTTGAGATATTGCCCTTGAGTTTAAAGAATGACGGTTGGATACGTCGGTATCATATACGAGTAAACTAAGTACACATTTGTAAAAGTTTTTAAATTTATATATTGTTGTGGTCGGTAATTCCAATTGGCATGAAAAAAACGAAGGCTTATTCGATCATTCTTGCTCTAGAACAAACTCCTAATCCAAATTTATAGAAACAAATAACCCATCCAGATGACACTCCACTTTTTTACTGAAAGGATGTGGAAGATGTCTGGCTCAATAACCCCTTGGCTTTAACCTATTTTATATATAGGTATATATTTTAGGTATATATTTTAGGTATAACAATGCTAGTAAAACAAAACATCAAATATATTTATGCTTTTCAAGATTTTCGTGTTACGAATATCTTTTATCTATGGTTTATAACACACACCCTTAGTTTCGTCAAAATCCATCAATAATTGTGCGTTCTAGAGTGTTTACGAGCTAAAAATTGAACGCGTTTTAAAGAACAAGGGCAATAACTCATACTAAATATTTTCCGATATTTTCTGATTTTCAATAGGGCTCACCCTTGGATGATAACAAGCAATCATACCAAGTTTCGTCAAAATCAGTCAAGAATTGTGCCTTCTAGAGTGTATATGAGTAATTGTGGTCGGATACGTATAGGTTAAAACAGAGTAGAAAAAAAAACACACAATTCAATTGTCGAAGGATTACATGTTCAATATGATACATGAAACCTTTCAAAAGAAAAGACATCCACATTTGGAATTTTAAGTTTACGCATATTTGGTTTTTAATGAAACATAAATAAGTTACCGATGTTTAGCTGCTGGATAAAGAAAATTGATCAGTGAACTTGAAGAATGAAGCTGACTGTTTTAAATCTTTGGACCAAATTGGTTTTAAACTATCCTATTTTCTAATAATTACGACAGTGGGCTGAACTTTCTGAATAATTAATACCATATCTAGAATATGAACTCTGACCTAGGTCCTGAAGTAAGAAACACATGACAAGTTTGCCCATTTTCGTTTATTCGAGATGGCTGATCATCTTAGCAAGTCCCATCTTCAGTTTTTAGATGCTGCAAGACATTTCCCTAAAGGGGCATTCCGCTTTTTTTTGTAAAACATTTTCATTATCAAAAACGTCGTAAATTATACCTGAACATATTTCTAAAGTAGCCTATGCTATTTATATCTTATGTATCTACTTGGTCAAACTGAATTTGTTTTAAAAGGGTCAATTAAAAACCGGCTTAGAGTATTAATGGCAGTTTTCTAACAGCTTGCAAAAAGCATAAAGAACTTTAAAGAGTTATGTAACCTTTCACATAAATTTTGGCGTTAAAAACTTCACGGCTGAATTTTTTTAAGTTAAAACTTTCAGATACG